CCGGTGCTAATGAGAATTGTTTGTTCTGTCACAAGGTTGGACACATACTTGATTCATGTAGAAACTACCTAGCAAAATCCACCAAGAATTTGCTAAAAGAACAGGATTGTGCTTTGCTTGTTTAGGCTCTGGACATTTATCGAAACAGTGTAACAAACGCGCAACGTGCAGCATTTGCACAAAACGACACCCGACAGCCTTTCATGGAGATATAGTAAAACAATATCCGACCAATTCACATCAACATACACCTTGCAATGAGGAAAAGGAACTTTATAAGTTTCAAACTGGTGCGGTTTTAATGAGTATAACCGAGTCATGTGGAAAAAGCTCAATGATTATTCCTGTGTATCTCTATCATACTGATGACCAACAACATGAAAAAACTTGTGTACGCTCTCTTAGATACTCATTATTTTGAAACTTTTCTTATTTTACTAACTCAGTTTGCAACGTTAACTTGAAATCATCTAACTTGATTGTTTATGTATCCCTGAACTACATTACTATCTATGTAGTTCTTTATTCTAGTCAAATCCATATATAAATGTCCACTTATTTCTCCGATTTCTAAAGCCATACACACACAATTCTAATCTTGATGAATGCTCCAAAGGACACTGATTTTGTAACACTAGTGAAACATCTTGAGGTTATAAGTGTAACTTTATTTTATTTCAAAAATATTTTTATCAAAACTTTTAATTAAAATGTCGATTTTGTTTATCACGGGATTAGCATACTTTGCTTAATATGTGTTTTTCTTCTTTTAAAGATCAATTTTAATAGTTATGATTTGTAAAACTGTTTTAAGACATACTTTTTCTTAAGATATTTTCTTATTAAAGTGTTTGCATTTATCTTTATATTCTTAACTTCTTCATAAATACCAACAAAAATGGCGAACGGGTAGGAGACCGGAAATATATTTTACAAAATTAATTTTGTTGTTCATAGTACGAGAGCATTAGTGAAAATTTACAGACAAGGTTAATACGAAATTTAATATACAATATCGTTATCATAACCTTTGTCTAGTGAGGCGTTGTTGCCTTACATGAGATAGAAATACAAGTGAGTGAAGCCAAAGTAAAAGTCATAAAAGCTCTCGAAAAGAGCATGAGAGAGGATAAGAGCACTCATTAAAGATGAAACTTTGACTTTACCCAAAAAATTGAAATACAAATTGAATCCAAATGTACCAGAGTGGGTCCGAAAGAAAGAAAACAATACACGACAGTAAAACAAAAGGTATTGATTGGTACGGATACAAATAACAACATTGAAACATCTAAAATTCATGTTCATAGTAACGACCAAAAAATGACGTTCACCAATTAAATACTATAGTGATAGCTCGTGAGTTAAACAAGCCTAAAGCAGACATTACGAAATTTGATGGTAGCCCCATGGAATATAAGAGTTTTATGAGACAATTTGATGCTAGAGTAGTAGCAAATACTGGTTCTTATGATGAAAGACTTAATTTTCTATTACAATTTACTATCGGAGAGCCACATAGAATTGTGAGTGGATTTTCTCATTTAGATGCCAGAAAAGGTTATGAAGCAGCTTTGTAAGAATTTAATTATCGTTATGGATATCCTGACGTCATAGCTCATGCGTACGTCAAAAGAGCTTTGGATTGGTCAGTGATTAAACCAGACAATGCTAAAGCCTTGGATGACTTTTCAATATTTTAAAGAGAATGTCTCTATGCTGTTGAGAATGTTGTTGCCTGTACTGAAAAATGTTCAGTTTGGGTTGTTCCTAGTAGATAAATCCATTTTGGTACCACTACCAAATGATGTAAACAGTCCATCAAAAATCAAAACGTACATGGAAAGAGAAAACAAGAGTGGGAGTTTTTTTATAAGAACTCCATTTGATATTTCAGCTCTATGTATCGAGGTAGGTATTAAAAAATAGAAATATGGGCATAAAACACGAATGATCTCTGTAGCTACTTGGCCGATTTGGCAAAATCCCTGTAGCAATATTATCTTGGCTGTTGCAGCTAGAGGCAAAGATTTAATTTTTTTTAATTTTGGTGTTTTAACGCCACTTTTAAGCACCGCATTTGGGCTTTTTCGTGGCGGCCAGTTTTTATTGGTGGAGGAAGCCGGATTGCCCGGAGAAAACCACCGACCTCCGATAGGAAAACTGACCATCCTAGTCAATTAAGATTGGAGTGCACCTGTACGAGCGGGGTTCGAACTCACAACCTCAGTGTTGACTGGCTAGTGATTACAGTAGTAATTACTTAGACCACTCGGCCACCGAGGCCCCTAGAGGCAAAGATAAGTTATTGACAATGATATGTTTAATTTAAAAAAAAGGATTGCACCTTTTTATACGCCCGTTTACGGGACGTATTATGGTATACCGTTGACCGTCTGTCTGTCGTCAACATATCGGACATTAACTAAAAAAAAAACTTTAACCAATGTTCAGCTTCATTGATTTTGAGCAAGTAAACTATATTATGTCAAAAAATTGATCACAATCTAAATCTATACAGTATTAAGCTTGAATATTGTGTCCAAATTTGCCCAAACATGTTCAGGGTTCAACCTCTGCTGTCGTAGCTGTCTGCACTCGACGACGCTTTTTATAATTAAACCTTCTATGTATATCTATACTTTGGTGAGGTTCTACAATGGTAGCTGGTGGACATTGCAACTCTGTTCTTTTAATGCTCCATGAATATATAAAATATGTTCAACGCGTGGGATATTGACTATAGAAGTCTGTTGACATGAATATCAAATCTATGGTATTTTTCATAAATTTCCTGTTACAAAACTTTGAATTTTTCGAAAAAAAAAAAAGATTTTCTGATTCCAGGAATAGATTACCTTAGCCGTATTTGGCACAACTTGTTTGTTTTTTTTGGTCATCAATGCTCTTCAACTCTGTACTTGTTAGGCTTTACAACTATTTTGATTTGAGCGTCACTGATGAGTCATATGTAGAGGAAACGCGCGTCTGGCGTATTAAATTATAATCCTTGTACCTTTGATAACTATTAATTAAATTTCTGTTTCTAAATTTTAGATGAAATCTTCACTAATGCAGATAACTTTTGTTTTGGTGAAAGTGTAATAAAGCTAGAATATAAAAGATTCACCTAATATTGAAGATACACCTGCGTCAACAATCATAAAGAAAGAGGCAATCCCACAAGTCTAAGTCCTCCTCAATGAAAGTAAAAAGGCCAAAAGAAGAGTTTGAAGTAATTGAGAAAACATCTAGTCCAATCAGCATATCATCTGTTTGTGAGAACAACATAATGAATAATTAAGAATTATCAGAAGTCAAAAGGGAGCCTTTCCTTAGTTTCAGAAAAATTTCTTTCTTCTTCCTCAGATAAATTCTTTGTCAATTCCAAAAAGGGCAATTTAGAGGATATATGAAACCAACACAGAATACACTTTTTATTTACAATGACGAACCTCTCCTGCCTTTATTGTTTTGCTTGATTTCAAAGACTGAGTTGAAACATCATCTGACGAACTCAAAGACTACCATTTAATCCCAAGAACTCTACAAAAACCAAGACCAACTACAATAATAGAAAGCAGCAGAGATCATCAAAAGAAAACAAGCATACAAAGCTGACGTTGCACGTACTGGCGTTCAAGAAAATGTGTGTTTGTGATATTGATCTTGAAAAAATGACCACTGGACAAATTTGTTTGCAGATGACAATGTTGTTTGGCGGCAAACAGATGATAATAGTCAAGAAGCGTCAGTTCAATCCAGTTTTGTCTCTCTCACACGAATAATATATTTTTAGGTACATGGGCTCATCTTCTGATCCACTGGACGTTAAGCAACCAACAATCAATCAATCAATCATCTTCTGATTTTCATAGTGTAATAAGACTACACTTCTGTTTGTTTGTTTTTGGGGCAACCATCAATACATATCATGCTACCGCTTGTTATACTCAAAATTTTATAATAGATTCAAAATGTTGTATAATAAGCCTTTGCTCCATTGAATTCGCATAAACCAGCAGCTTTAACATGTCAACTTCATAATTAACCAGCAACTCCAGAAGTCAGCAACTCTACAGCAATTACTGAAGCCGTCGTTCAATATGCCAGGAAAACCAGCCGAACGAATATAATCGAAAGTTTGAATCAACAATATTAAGGTTCGTATTTAATGCTCACGATACATTTGATAAAAATGAAAATTGTACAGTGTTTAGGTCCAAAACACACAGAACCGCGCATACCAAGATAGCCATATTAAAACTGAAAATATTTCAGCACTTCCCATATGCTTCATCAGAGACAGATAAAAAAAATATGTGGATTAGTAAATAGGGTCTTAGACAAAACCCAACTTGAATAGCTTAGAGGCACTGCATCAAGATTCGACCCATGGTGTAATTATCTCTATGAAAACATCTAAGCTAACAAAGTCTTTGAAGAAAAACATAAATTTATTTAACAACGAAGTGGAAGGCAGTGACAATTTTAAAAATATAGTTCAATCACTTATGGAAAAATCAGTGATGTATAAAGCATCCCTTACTATCTCAGATAAGCATGTTCTCTTTTCAAAAGATCTTTCTGTTGGTAAAGAATAATGGTCACAGATATTTTGTTTTGCAAACATCAGATAAATTCTTCTTTCGGAACTGATATTTATACAATTGAAAGTGTTCACATCACTAAATGGATGTAGGACTAGGAGTAAAACCACTATGGAAGGCCACTAATTTCTACATTGTGAACGAATAATTTGTAATGACAGTTTAATAAAAAATTACATACAAAGTTGAATAATATTTTATTATGGTTTTTACATAACATGGCTGATTTAGATGCTGTCTTAAGAGCAGAATTTTCGTGATTGAAGAAGAGGTCGAGACAAAACCTGAAAATTCGATAAGTTGAACTGATTTTTTGCGGTGTTACAAAATTGTAATATCACAAATACAAACATAGAAGACATACAAATTGAATTTGCAAACGAGTGGAATATGACATTCAAACTGAGTGCAGACTCTGCAGGCAGAATAAGGTATAACAAAGTAATTAGTCAAGAATTTAAACATTTCCAAATAAGCCAGTGCAAATATACAGAAACATGGTTTTGCAAAATTTCCACCATCCGCATATAGTATTGGCGATGAAGTATATGTAAAATGTCAAAGCAAAGGCAAAATAGTGTATAGAGGAGGGACATCGATCGCAGCGCCACGAAAATTTGAGGTATGGTAAAGTGGTATAATAGGATATTTGTATTTTATATATTAGTTTGCTTATTTCTATATTTTTAATCTAACTTTATTATTTCAGAAGATTTTATTATTAATTCTGAGGTATTATATTATTGCATGGTCACTGTGTCTAAAACTACACCGGTAAAAAATGGTTGGACTCGATGGTATATAATATCCGGCACGGTGACGGAACATTTATATACAGAAAAAAATAGGTTTCTGTTTATTTATTTGTTATTTTTATGATATCGAAGACTAGGTAAACATATATATAACCATTTTCAATTGTGATGTGTCATATTTTCTACAACCGTTCTATACTAACGGAGAAATAAGTAAAATGAAAAATGTATACAATTGAAATAAATAAGATTAGATAACGCATACTTTTAACTGAACTTGTAAATGGAATTTGAAACTCCAAATCCGACGCAAACTTCAGAATAAGTGTATATTGAAATGGCTTCTTTATGTTACTTATTGAATCATTATAGGTTAGCCCTGTCAAACAGGGAGAGGATGTAGATGTTAGAGAAATATTATTTAGATAATTTTCGGAAAATAGATGTGTCTAGACAACCAAGGCCATTGTGGGAACATTCATTACGATGCTTCAACAGAGAATTTTTAAAATTAAATCACACATTAAAGGAAAGTCAAATAATATCATCATAAAGTATGGTTGAATTATTACTATTTTAACAAAAAGCAAGGGACAGGCAAACGCAGTCTAAAATAATACAATTTTTTGTTTAAAATAACGACTTTTTACTGGCTGTCATGATTGGAATTGAACTATGACAAAATGCCAAGTGCTTACTCTGTTTAATGCACATCTTGAATCTACCCACAAAAAAAAAAACTTGTGGGAACACTGATTCTCTTAAAATTTTTCACCACTTAAGTTGGATTAACCCCATTGTATTTGAGGTTAAACTTTTATAATTGGAACCATGAGAATTATTTTAAAATTAAGATATCATTGTTAATTTCACACAAAAATTAACCTTTTAAAATATTAACTACGAGTATATACAGCATACCATTGGTACAATGGACAGTGAAAATGATAAGAACATTTCAAAAGTACACAAGTCAAATTGCATGCAGTAAGCATTATACTGTTAAAAGAGCATCAAAATCACTATTATTAATTGATCTGATAAAAATTCAACTGCTAAACATATGATTATTTTTATTTTTACAGATACTGGTGAGATTGAATTCATTATTGAAGTTTCGAGAGTTCCTTAAGACAAATGGGGCCTGGGATAAACCTATGTCAATACAGATTTTAGAGAATGATTGATTGATTGTTGGTTGCTTTACGCCGCATTAGCACAACAAGGCTATATCGCGGCGAGAGCTAATTCGAATATTTTTTACAATTTAAAGCATATTCTTAAAATCAGACAAAAGGTCCTTCAATAAACTAAAATTCTAGATTAAAGCAAATTGATTATTTACAAATAAAAATGAACATTAAGATAACGTGATAAAATTTAAAATCGTTTTAAATATAATAACATTTTTATATTTTAGAATATATTCCAACTTCTTTTAAAAATGAAACAATATTTGTAAATGAAACATTATTAAATAAATCATACATATTATTGACATTGCAATGCTTCTTACGAATATCAGCAAAGTCAATACAATTGATTAAAACATGTTTAATAGTATACTTGCAGTTACAAGGTATACATTGTGGTTCTACTTCATTTTTTAAAAGATATTCGTGTGTTATTCTAGTATGACCAATACGACATCTAGAAATAACACACTGATCTTTTCTGCACATAAAATTATTGAAAGGTTTACATAAATTAGGTTTAATTTCATGTAATTTATTACCATCTTTTTTACTCCATTCATTTTTCAATATATTAAAAACATATTCTCTAATATTCGATTTAAAATCGGTATATGGTATATCACAGTTAGATAAAGGGTCACCCAGGGCATTCTTTGCCTCAAGGTCTACAGCTGTGTTTCCAAGGATTCCAACATGACTCGGCACCCATAGAAATAATATTTCTTTAAGAAGAATTTTTAAATTCCTCATTACATATAAAATTTTGAGAATTGTTGGGTTTTTAATTTTAGTATTTTGTATAGCTTGTAAGCATGAAAGTGAATCAGAACATATAATAAATTTGGATTTATCTAAAGAAGCAATAAATTTCAAAGCCAAAATTATTGCTTCTGCTTCAGCAGTAAAGATCGATGCATCAGATGGCAAACGGAGAGTTTTTAGAGAATGAGAATACATGTAGTTACATAAGTATGTTTTGTCATTTTTAAATCTTAACAGTTCAACAGATAGTCTAGAAAACAATTATTTTGAAAACTATGAAAATTGCATATCAATGAAAGATGTGCATATTCTAATAAATGCACATTTCGATAACGTCATTGATGTTTGGCAATTTTTTTATTTTAGTACTCGAAAATCAGAAAGGTTTCCTCTCTTGTATTGCTTATTGTTGATAAAAATATTTTAAATGTTTAAATGAACTTTATGGTCATCATATCAACAATATAACTTAAACTGATTGAAAAATATGCTGTTTATGTGTAATTAAAACAATTATCTTTACTATTGTTTCCCTATGCAGTCCCCTACTTTGTAGTTTGAATAGTTATGTAGACGAAACGCACGTCTGGCGTATAAAATCCTGCTACCTTTGATAACTTTTTACATCACTATCGCTCGGGCAAAAATAATCACGAATATAATGCTTACCAGTGTTAAAACTACAATAATTGATTGATTGTATCAATTATTATATAACTAATGATCATGATGATCGTGTCCATATAGTAATTACCACATCAATTGAATTAAAAGACCGGTTTTGCGAGTCGAAACTGATAACACAATCGCTATTTTGAAATTAATTGGCTTATGTCAAAGGGACTGCGAACCATCATTTTCAGTGTGATATAATCACATCATTTGAATTAAAACACAGGTTTTGCGTGTCGAAGCTTTTCTTACAAGTATCTGATATCAATCATTCAAAACAAAAATAAAACAGAAAGCTCAGAGACATGTTTTTGATTTAAATGAAACTGATAACAGAATCGCTATTTTGAAATTAATTGGCTTATGTCAAAGGGACAGCTAACCATCATTTTCAGTGTGATATAATCACATCAATAGAATTAAAAGACCTGTTTTGCGTGTCGAAGCTTTACTTACAAGTATCTGATATCAATCATTCAAAATAAAAATAAAACAGAAAGCTCAGAGACATGTTTTTCATTTAAATGAAACTGATAACAGAATCGCTATTTTGAAATTAATAGGCTCATGTCAAATGATTGATTGATTGATTGTTGGTTGCTTAACGTCCAGTGGCAAATATTTCATGCATATTCAGGACGAGAACAAATTAACAATAAATACAATAGGTAGGATCTGTAATAGGGGCGTCCGGGATTAAGGTCGGAGAAATTTAGACTGCCACGGGAAATGAGGAAATATTGGATAGGGACAGAAATTTAGCCTTGCAACAGGTCACCTACGGACCCCTCAAAGAGTTGTTGCAAGGGTTCTTAACGTGCAAAGAGCGTGGCACTCTCTTTACACGAGGCATCGGATTTAACGTCCCCATTCTGACCGGACGTGGCTGCAAATTTGTACATCCCGCACAGCCAAACGGACGCCCCACTTTAGCAAGGGTTTTACTGCCGGTCGGAGGAAGACCAATGGTGACCATACTTCTATTCCCCAGTCACCCTTGGGGGTTCATGTCAAATGGACAGCGAACCATCATTTTCTGTGTGATATAATCACAATCCTCTAAGTTTGATTGATTGATTGATTGTTGGTTGCTTAACGTCCAGTGGCAAATATTTCATGCATATTAAGGACGAGAACAAATTAACAATAAATACAATAGGCAGGTTCAGTAATAGAGGCGTCCGGGGTTAAGGTCGGCGAAATTTAGACTGCCACGTAAAATGAGGGAATATTGGATAGGGACAGAAATTTAGCCTTGCAACAGGTCACCTACGGACCCCTCAAAGAGTTGTTGCAAGGGTTCTTAACGTGCAAAGAGTCTGGCACTCTCTTTACACGAGGCATCGGATTTAACGTCCCCATTCTGACCGGACGTGGCTGCAAATTTGTACATCCCGCACAGCCAAACGGACGCCCCACTTTAGCACGGGTTTTACTGCCAGTCGGAGGAAGACCAATGGTGACCATACTTCTATTCCCCAGTCACCCTTGGGGGGGCCTCTAAGTTTGCTTTTGTTTTTTGTCATTAATTATATGTTTTTTTTGTGTTTACACGTTATTCATGTCATTGAATTTACATACAAGCTCTATGTTTAATGTGGTTCTTTGACCTAAAATTGTTAACTATGAATACATTGTTACCTGGATGTAGAGTTGCACTCATACCACATCTTCTTAATTAATATGGAAACATTATAAAGATCTCCATTTTACAAAGTAGGTGCAGATCTGTTCGAAATGAAAGACATTGGAGAAGAGGAAAATGAGTTTAAATCTAACAAATATGTTTGTAGTACCCTACCCGACACTAATTTTTCAAAGCATACCATAAATTTTTTACATTGCAATCTGAAATTTAATACATTTGGTTTACTTCATATCTGCATTTAGTTTTTAGTTTCAAGTACAGCAGTTATGAGCTGTTTTAATCTACTGATAAAACCAGAAGTGGTTTCCTATATGAAGCAAGTTGTGAAACATTTTGGCAGTAATTCCTATAGTCATGACAATAAATGCAATGAGTTTGCATATATCCTATAGACTTTGATTTAGAGGTTGAGGCATGAAGAAACGTTGGTTTGTTTTGAGCGTTGTATATTCGCTGAGGACAAAAATTTTGCCATGCAACAGACCACTTACGGACCCACCAAAGAGTTGTTGCAATGGTTCTTGGACGGGCAAAGTAGTACACAAGAAGCAAGACAATGATCACCAAACTGTAAAATCACAATAATACTGAACTCCGAGGAAAATTCAAAATGGAAAGTCCCTAATCAAAAAGGAAAATAGCTACATAAATGGTTGACAAAAGAAAAGCAACAGAAGAACACAAGAAGCAAGATAATGATCACCACATGATATTACATCAGGAAACCAAAGCTATAGAAATGGTTAAAAAAAGACAACAGAAGAACACACGAAGCAAGACAAAAATGTGTTCGGTGTGTATTGAAAAATGCCAATGTCGAAAGAGATGCTCTTTCAACCTACTGACTTTCCTAGTCAAAGAACTGAAGTATATCGTTCCAGAATAGTCTACTTTATGGTTCCTAAACCGGTTAATCAAATTACTGATGAAGTTCTCATTGATGAGAAGTAAAATGGTTGAGGTGTAGCCATCTAAAGCCCCAGTCACATAAGACCACGATCGTATCACGCTCACCGCGATCGAAAATTAATTCAGATCGTGGTGAGGTCGCGGTATGAGCGGCGTGGAAATGTAACTTTTCGTTGTTTTCACGATGCTATAACGTCCTCATTACACTTATTGAACGATCCCGCTACGTTTATACAACACGCTTATTCTGTTTCAACATTAAGAACAGGAGTCCAAGTGTGTTTTTTTTTTAGTGTAATTCAATATTAACAAGACAGATGTGATAATGTTAATGTCAATTATATGTACAATGTATGTATGTTGATACACTATTGTAAAGTGCTTAAAAGCCCCTTTTCTTAATTGATCAACATAATGACGAATTCAGTTGCGACTGATTGGACAGAATAGGATTATAAACTTATGATGGAATTATTTTCATGGTATGGCTCCGTTCTCGAATCTTAATCTAAATACATATCTACTACATCAAACTCACATACATGATAGCGTTGAGTCTTCCATTGTCACGTCACACAGCTGAATAAAAATAAAGATTGTCGTTTATAGTAGTACAAGAACGAATGTAGGACAGAAAGTCACAGGACAAAAAGTCACGGACAAAAAGTCACAATTCATTTTTTCTGATTATTTTCTATGAATAAAAAACGCTTATTTCTACAAAAATATTTTTGTACTTTTCTTGAACTCTTGTATATAAACCAACTTTGTAGAACAAAATTTTTCAAAAAATATCAAAAATGATCAAATAATTGTTAAAAAAAAAACAAAATGTCAAAGTGGCTTGGCACTTAAATGGCTTCATGGTGCCAAAAAATCTTTCTTTTGCATGTTTAAGATTAAA